CAAAAAAATTTCTAAGAACCCTAAATGTCTCTCTTGGCCTAATTCTTCTTTTACCTTAGTGTGGATATTCTTTTGTTTAATTTCTCTTAAAATTAAAAGTCTTCAAGGTTGCTAAGGACTTAAGGTAACAAGTTATACCTTACTTGTTTTTAATTTGATTGAATTTTTTTGCAAAATATGAATATACATGTTATAGTATCACATGCATCATTCTCCATGCATTACATCTTTCAAATGGTATCAGAGTCAAGGATTTGATCCTTATTTGTCTAAAATTGGCCAAAAGGTTCATGTTCATATGTTGAATAATGTTGTATAATTTTACAAATTTTGATTTGTGAAGTTACATATTAACTTGCTTTGTAAGACTTGTAGATCCATGCATGTGTATCCTTTATATGCCATAAAAATTTGTTTTTGATTATGTTAGTTGACTTGCAAAATTCGGTCATGGCTTAAGTTTTTAAAATTTTTAATTACACTTTATGTTCTTATGATTTTTGTTTGAAAAACATGATGGTTATGGCACAAACATCAAGATTTATTTGAAATTTTAGTGTTTGATTGAAGTTTGCCAAATGAGTTTTAGGTTAAAATGTTGCTTGCTCAATATTTATGGCTTGAAGAATATGATTCTTGGTGATTAGGACATTGTATGGATGCTAATATGTCAATTTTGAATAAAATTGATGTTGTTCACATATTTTGATTATGTGAAATTTTGGCCATGGCAAGTTTGTAAATTAATTGTTGATTAATTAGCATACTTGTTTAGACAATTTAAAAGTTTTAATGTGTAACACTTGCTCTCAACTACTATTCTTATAGTTCATACTATGTAAAATATAGAGATGTATATCATACGAAAGATAGTGGGCTCAAATTTTTCTTTACTCATAAAATATAATTCTTTACAAATACAAAAGACTATGTATTTAAAAACTTTCTAATTAATACAAAATATCATGACTGGTAGACAGTGGTGCCAATACTCTTCGCTCCTCGACGTCCATCCGACCGTTGCTCCTATTTCCTGCAAAACAGAGAAGAACAACGGGGTGAGCACAACAATGCTCAGTAAGTAAATCCTCTACTACCTGTCCCCGCAACTCACTCTTTGGTTCTTTCCTCACTCTACTGTTCTTCTATTTCTATTTCTCACTGTCTTCCTTTTTCTTTCTAATACTGTTATTCTCCTTTAACTCTGCTCTGCTCTTTTTCTTTCTTTCTCTCTGTTCTTTTTCTCTTACTCTTACTCATCATGAAGGAAAATCATGGTTCTCTCTTATTCTCATCATACTCACCATGAAAGAAAAATCATGGTTCTCGCCTGTATAAGCTCTACATGCAATTAATACAAAAGAACTGCATGTTTCTTTCTTCTACTCTCTATTCTTATTAGCTCAAACTTCCGCATTCTTTCTCATACTCTCTCTCTCTTTCTATCTCATTCTTTCTCAAGCTTTCTCATTCCTTCTCATTCTTTAATTCTCTCTATTATCTCATTCTCATTTCTCATAATTCATTTATACTAACTCGCTCTTTAAATGTCACGGCCCCGTCTTATCGTAGTCACGGCCGGGACTTCTCTCGCTCTACGTGACTTCTACTGATTCTAGCCGATCGGACTCGGTTATGCATGGATTCGGAACCCTTGGCCACGTGAGTGTATAATCTCTCTCTCTGGTACTCGAGTATAGCCCTCATCCGCATGTACTCTCACGGGCTACACCACTTCTCTTTCTCATACTCATGCCGCTCTCTCAATGCGGCGTACATGCGAGAATACTCTACCCATTACTCACGGGTTCCCTATCGCATAACCTACTCTATGCTCTTATCTCTCTCTTATTCTTTCTCATGTTTCTCATCTCTTTCTCACGCTAGTACTCATACTCAAGCTAGTACTCATAATATAACTTAACTCTTAGCTTTTCTCATCTCTGTCCTTTCTATTTCTGTTCTTTCTCATTCTTACTCATTGGAATGTCACGACCTCATCTGACCGGAGGCACGGCTGGGCGCTACCACTCTACGGAACTTCCTCTCATTTCTCTACTGATCGGATTTAGTCATGTATGGATTCGGAACCTTTGGTCATGTGAGTGTACATGCTTTCTCTCTACCTCTCTCAAATGTCACGACCCCTTCTTACCGGAGGCACGGCTGGAATCTCATGTTCCACTCTACGTGACGGTCACGGCCTCATCTGACCGGAGGCACGGCTGGGGATCACAAAGCACCCACTCTCGTGACTCTACTCATCACTCACAGGTTCCCCATCGCACAACTTACTATATTCTCTTCTTTAGCACTTTTCTCTCTCTTATTCGCTAGTGCTCAATCTCTCTTTCTCTTTACTCTTAAGAATTGCTATTCTCAACATCCTTTACTCTTTCTCACTCAAACTATTACTCGAGATAGCTTATACTCAAAATTCTCTACTCTTAAGCTAGTACTCTAAGGTAGCTCATACTCAACATTCTCTATTCTTCCTCAAACTACTTCTCAATGCACAATTAATGCATATGGATGGTTTATACTCATTAATGCACTTATGAAATGCCAAATGCAATATTTCATCAAAACAGTCATCCTGCACAGGTCACACTAAAAAGGTCATAACTTGTGTTATATACCTCGGATTGCTACGGTATTAGTCTCGTTTTAAAGCTTAGAGACAGGGCTACAACTTTGATGTTTTGGTCTTAGCCCAGTTCAATCCGTAAATTCCCAAAAATCACTTAGAAAGTCACGGCTGTGACAGGGCAGATTTCACTTAGGTATTTCATCAAACAACTCATGTGCATACAAAAACTCTTCTCTAACTACCACTCTCCTTCTCTTTTTAACCATCCAAAATGGGAAGAAACTCCCTTCTATGGACATGGTTCCTATCATAAAAGAATACTCCAAATATCTACTCATCTCCTCCAACTTCATCTCAAACTCATCACACACTAACACTTCCCATAAAAGAAATATCCAACTCAAAACTCTCAAAAATCCCTTAGAAGATTGAGTGAGATTGAGAGAAATGGGAGATGAAGAGGCGGTGGAAATGGGTGCAATGAATGGGTTTAGAGACTCAACCCTTATTACTCATATAATATACACTCTTTCCCATTTTGCAATTCCTCTTTCTGAAAATTCCACCTTTATCCTTTAACTCTTATACAAACTCACCCCCATTTAACACTATTCTCCGAAATTTCCTTACATTTTACTCCCCACTTTTCCTGCTAATTAGGGGTAGAATGGTCATTTTACCCCTATGAAGAATTCTCTGAAAACTCAAGGAACTTTTCTGCGTCCTGTCGCCGCGGCAGAACTTCCTGTAGCCCCGGCGAAACATTCCAGAACCGACACTGCCAACACAGAACCAACGTCGCCGCGGCGAAGCTTCTTCCTCGCCCCGGCGAAGGCTGTAACTCCAAAATCCGCCAAGTCTTGATCAATTCCATGATACACACTCAATCAAACCCAAAACATCAACTCAACCAAAAGCCAACCAAACAACATGAGCAATATACAAACTCATTTAGGGGCAATTCAGTAATCCTTTAGGCCATACCATAAACAATGGCTACGTATTTCAAGTGGGGTGTTACATAATGTTTTGATAGTGATTAAAATGTTCATGGATGCATGGAGATGAATTTTGTTCATGTGAGAGATTATTGCATGTCTTTTAATTAGGTGCAAAAGGGTTGTTTGATCTTCTTTGGCGTAATTTGTCATACTACATTATGTTTGTTAAATATGTGATTTAATGGACATTAAAGGGTATTAAGATAATTTGCCTTAAAGAGTTAAGGGTAAAATGAACACAATTTAATTGTTCATTATGTCTTTGATAAGATTAATTGAATCAATCATTAATGTAAATTGATATTCCATGTGATAAGATAAGCATAAATTTACTGCACCAACTTTTCATTGCCAAATGTTGGTTGTATAATTGCTTATTTAATGTAAGTGTTACACTATCCCCTAAAGTTTCATTAATGATTATTAATGGGCAATTTATTATATATAATTGATATATGGGGTATATAGGTGTTATATTAATACAATGAATTTTTGTTATGTTTGATAACATGTGATGCCGTATTTAAGCATGTAATATGCTTGTATGATTTATGCATATTAATTATGCCATTGTTTATAGTTAAATTTTAATATTTATACGAAGTGTTGAAACTTAATTTTATGCCATGACATTTAGTTTTAGGTTTGCAGTTTGGGGTTTATGCTTTATATTTAGTAGATACATATGGTGGATATGTGTAGGATAGATATTAAAACATTATCCTAAAACAAAACCTAATCTTTAAATCTTCCCTACTTAAAATATTAAGTTTAAACCTTCCATTAAGAGTCAATTAATTCTTTGCCATAGAATTAGAGATCCTAGGATTTTTATTATGTGAGGGATGCTAATTTTATGACATAAAATTGATTGTCTTAGTTCTTAGATAGAAATTCTACATTGTACCCAAGATTTCTATTATGTGAGGATATAATAGGAATTCTATTTTAAGAAAGCCTAATGGGTCAGATTTAACTAGTCTAGAGTACCAAGATTTCTATTATGTGAGGTATCTGAAATTAGAGGCAAGGAAATGAATCATAAATTATGTGATGATATAAAGAAATAGTTTCCTACTTATTGAATTTAATGGACCAAGATTTCTATTATGTGAGGTTTATTAAATTTGATAAGAATTTGATCTTTATCCAGGGAAGTATACAATTTGAAATAGTGGGAACTAATTAGATTAGCTTAATAAAAGACATATGTGACAAAACACTCATAATTTTTAATTTCCTTGAAGCATCTCTCATAAAATATTAAACCGTAAAAGTTGAATAATCTACAGTTGAAAATCCTGAAAGAGAACAACAAGTTAGTTGGTCGTAGTAATTACAATGATTGGCTGAAGAAACTGATAATAATATTGAATTCAAAAAACGCAACCTACGTTTTAGAAACACCCATGCCTAAACCTCCTCCTTTTGATGCTCATTATGATGAGCATAATGAATATAAAAAATGGAAGAAAGATGAACTTAAAGCTCGCTCTTATATGATGGCATCGATGAGTGACGAGCTCCAGAGAAAGTGTGAAGAGATGAAAAGTGCTAATGAAATTTACCTCGCGTTACAAGAGTTGTACCGTGAAATTTCAAGGATAAGACAATATGAATTAAATTCAAATTTATTTGGAATGAAGTTGAAAGAGGGTGTGTCACCAGAAGAACATGTCATGAAAATGATTAATATTCTGAGGCAATTACACGCCATGAAAATTGAAATGCCAGACACCCTCAAGGTGGATTTAGTTCTCCAATCTCTACCTTCAAGTTTCACACCTTCATCAATAATTATAATCTCACTAGGATTGAGAGAAAACTTCATGATTTGTTGAATGAGATTCAATAGTTTTATGATCAGGAAAGAAAAGGGAAAAGGCAGAAGATTGTTAGTATGGTTTCTTCCAGTAAGACAAAGAAGAAAAAGTCGATGAAATCCCAAAAGAAATTGGGAACAAAACCCAGGGGAAAGGGGTTTAAGAAAAAGGTTGCACCTTAAGCCAATAAATCTAAAGAAAATGACCAATGATTTTGGTGCAAAGAAAAAGGGCATTGGAAGAGGGATTGTCCTCTCTATCTAGAAAGTCTTAAGAAGACTAAAGCTCTTCTCATTGAGACTACTGGATCAGGTATGTCCCAATGCTATGTCATTTAATTTGAATTAAATGTTAGTTCAAATAATTCATCCTGGATATTAGATTCAGCTGCTACTTCGCACATTTGTGTTTGTTTGCAGGATTTGCAGAATAGTTCTGCTCTAGCAAAAGATCTAGTCATGTTAAGAATGTCGAATGGAGCAAATGTTGCTGCCAAAGCCATGGGAACATGCAGTTTGATGCTTCCATCAGGACACCTTTTGTATTTGTACAATGTCTTGTATTTTGCTAAAGCCACTAGAAATATAATTTCTGTTTCTGTATTTATGTAAATATGGTTACAGTGTATAGTTCAATAGAAATGAATGTTTAGAGTTTATTTTGGAAATAAACTTGTTGGCAAAGCTATCAATACAAATGGTTTGTATGTGCTAGAATTAAATGGCCATAGCATATTGAATTCCATAAGTAATAAACGAACTCGAAGTGAAATTAATCATATATTACTTTGACATCATAGATTAGGTCATATAAGAGACAAAAGAGTAATCCAATTAAGAGAAAGAGAACTTTTAAGTTCATTGGGTTCAGAACCCTATCCGACCTATGAACCTTGTCTTTAAGGAAAAATGACCAAGTCACCCTTTAAGAGTAAAGGGGAAATGGCCAAAGAATTACTGGAATAAATACATATAGATGTATGTGGACCACTTAATGAAATGGCCAGAAGGGCTTTTCATTACTTCATTACCTTTACTGATGATTATTCAAGGTATGGGTATTTGTATTTAATGAAATACAAATTAGAATCTTTTGAAAAGTTCAAAGAATTCAAGAATGAAGTAGAGAAACAAACTGGAAAGAGTATTAAAATTCTATGATCAGATCGTGGAGGTGAATACCTAAGTATGGAATTTCAAGGTTTTTCTAAAAGAAAATGGAATTATATCACAATTAACTCTTCCATTTACACCACAACACAATGGTGTATCTGAAAGGAGAAATAGTACTATATTGGATATGGTACGATCGATGATGACTTTTACGGACTTGTCGATTTACTTGTGGGGGTATACCCTACAAACAACAGTGCATATTTTAAATAGAGCACTATCTAAATCAATTTAGAAAACACCATATTAAGTATGGTGTGGCAAACCACCTAGTCTTAACTATTTAAAGGTCTACGGTTGTCCAGCTTATGTCAAGACTGTCAAACAGATAAGTTGGACATAAGATCTAAAAAATGTCGGTTTATAGGGTATCCTAAAGAAAGTTTAGGATATTATTTTTACTTCCCTACTGATCAAAGAATCTCAATAAGTAGAAACGCACATTTCCTTGAGAAAGAATTCTTGGAAGAAGGAGGTGCAGGAAGAAAAATTGAACTCAAGGAATATTCCGAAGAGTCTCAAATCAATAATATTCAGATAGGTGAACCAGATCAAGAACTTTAACCCATGACACAACGGTTCTAGCCTGTAAATCTTCTAGAATATCTCGACCTCCAAAGAGATGTTATGGTTTCCACATGAAATTTTTTTTGAATCTTTTTCAGTTGGAGAAGTTGATCATGGAAATGATCCTAAAACTTATGAAGAAGCGATATTAGATATTGATTCTTAAAGATGGCTAGAAGCGATGAATTCTGAAATAGAATCCATGCACGCTAATCAAATTTGGACACTTGCTGACCCTCCAAAAGGAATAGTTCCTATTGGTTGTAAATGGGTCTTCAAGAGAAATGTTGGCAAAGATGGAAAGGTAGAGACCTATAAGGCTAGACTCGTCGCGAAAGGTTATACTAAAAAACAAGGGTTGGATTATGAGGAAACTTTTTCACTAATTGTAATGCTTAAATCCATCAAAATCTTGCTAGACATAGCAGCACACTATGATTATGAAATTTGGCAAATGGATGTCAAGACCGCGTTCCTCAATAGATTTGTTGAGGAAAACATATATATGCAACAACCTAAAGGTTTTGTATCCAGTACTAAAAGACATAAAGTGTGCAAATTACATAGATCAATTTATGGATTGAAGCAAGCTTCCAGAAGCTAGAATATCCGGTTTGATGAAACGATCAAGACTTTTGGTTTCATAAAGAATCCGGATGAACCGTGTGTATATAAGTGGGTAAAAGATCATGTCTCGATTTTCATCATATTATATGTAGATGACATATTGTTAATGGGAAATGATATTGGGATGATGATGATCGAAGTTAAGATGTGGTTGTCAAAGGCTTTCTCAATGAAAGATTTGGGAGAAGCAAATTACATTCTAGGAATTCGTATCTATGCAAATAGAGCGAAAGCATTGATAAGGTTATCTCAAAGCATGTATATAGAGAAAATGTTTAAAAAGTTTAACATGTAAGACTCCAAAAGAGGCTTTTTGCCTTGCGGTCATGGACTACATCTTTCTAAGGATACGAGTCCTAAGACTAATTAGAAGTGACAACGAATGCGTAATATACCTTACGCTTTAGCTGCAGGTAGTCTTATATACGCGATGCTATGTACAAGGCTTGATATAGCCTATGTTATAAGTGTTGCGAGCAGATATCAATCAAATCCAGGAAAGAAACACTGGTCAACAATTAAAACAATCTTTAAGTACTTGAGAAGGACTAAAGATTTAATACTGAGTTATGGAGGTTCAGAATTAAAAATCTAGGGATACTCAGATTCTTATTTTCAATCAGATTTGAATGATGAAAAGTCTACACCCGGATTCATCTTTACATGTAATGAAGAAGCAGTTAGTTGGAAAAGTTCCAAATAGTTGACCACTACCGACTCCACTACAGAAGCTGAATATATTGCCGCTTCAGAAGTAGCAAAAGAAGGTGTGTGGATACGCAAATTTGTAACTGAACTTGACGTGGTTCCGAACATGAGTTATCCAATAACCTTGTTTTGCAACAATAATGGTGCTATTGCGCAAGCAAAGGAACTAAGTGCACATAAAAAATCAAAACATATTCAGTGTAAATATCATATTTTGAGAGAGTTTGTTGAAGCTGGAGAAATTTTGGTATAGAAAACACCTTCAGCGGATAACGTAACTGACCCACTTACTAAAACGATGACACAAAAGCAATTAGATCATCATCTTGAGAAGATGGGTATTAGATACCACAACGATTGACTCTAGTGCAAGTGAGAGTTTTGTTAATGTACGCCCTAGGAACCAATCGTGTCATTGGTTCCAAGGCATTATGTTTTGTATATACATTTGTATATATATTTATGTATTACATGTGAAGTGTTCGAATGATACAAATCTTTAGAAGATCAAAATCATCAAAGTATTCCCTGCATAGGTAATATTAATTGGGCAATAATATTACATAGTAGGTATGCTGAATGCCTCCGTAAAATATCATGTGATGGTATTAGTGTGAGTGATTATAAAAGTTATATCACTAAGGCATTAGCATGGATAAGTGGCTAGTGAACTGTTTATCGAATATGACCATGTATGATGAATCACATGGACATTTAAAATGTAGTCAATGATTCATCATAAGATCGTACTAGTGTATTATTAATCCTTAAACCTGAGATATCACGGTTGGATTCTACATAAACGCATATGGTTCATACGGTGTATAAACACGAGGCTAATCATGTCATGTGTTAATAAGCCAATTTGGCCATGTGTTGTTTATGTGTGAGGACAAGTGATAGTCAAGATGGGATCCGTTGACTTAGTATAGATTGATATCAAGTTCCTAGACAAATATCAAGATACATTGGAAAATGGAAATCTCCAGCCGAGGTATATAAAATGTTACCTGAAAGGTTGTTTCATGGTGACACGTTCCATATGTATTGATTATCGGTATCCACACGAAGAAAGGACTACCGTCGTTGGGAGACTTCTAAGTGTTAGAATAGGTGCCCTAGAGCCAATCTATTATTGTGAGTTTGACTGTAATAAATGTTTATTCATAAATAAAAAAGCATATCCTTCTATATCGTGTAAATCGTAGTTATATGTGATGATATATGTCCTTAGAATGGTAGAACCATGACGAGAGTATCAAGAGTTTCAAATCTTGATAGTAAGAACCCTATGATCACATATGGTGGCCATTCTAAAAATGCTCATAGCCCTAGTATTATTCTGATCAAGGACACAAATAATATGGTAAGACTATCATAATGTTGAACGACCCTGTCGAAAGGCAGTGACTGATCTCACTTGTCAAAGTTGTTTGCCGACAACCTGGTGCAACTCATGGGTACTTGCTAAAGGCAAGTTTACTGGACAGACCCACCAGAGGATTCCATATGGATGGTAACAGTTCACTTGTCAAAGAATGAAAGTATTACTTCTCAAAATGACAAAGCAGGACGTAGTCCTATTTGAACTACATGATCTTTGAACGTCTTTGGTGGCATGCCTTTTGTTAGAGGATCAACAATCATCTGCTTGGTATGTATGTGTTCAATGAGCACTTCTTTGGCTTTAATGTGCTCCCTTATTGCTAAGTACTTAATGTCGATGTGTTTATTTTAAATTCCACTCTTATTATTCTTAGCAAAGAACACAACAACTGAATTGCCACAATACAACCTTATCGGTCTAGAGATAGACTCAACAACTCCAAGCCCTGAAATGAAACTTCTCAACCAAATACCCTATGTAGTAGCCTCAAAACAAGAAACAAACTCAGCTTCCATGGTAGAAGTGGCAACCAAATATTGTTTGGCACTTCTCCAAGATATAGCACCTCTGGCTAACATAAAAACATATCTGGATGTTGATTTCCAAGAATTAACATAGCCAACGAAGTCTGAGTCTGAATATCCGACGACCTCCAAAAAGTCGAACTGTCTATATGTAAGCATAAAACTTTTAGTTCATTGAAGATACCTCATGACCTTCTTTGTAGCTCTCTAATGATCTAAACCTAGATTACTTTGATATCTTCCTAACATGCCAACTACAAAAGCAATGTTAGGTCTAGTAAAGACTTGAGCATACATTAGGCCTCCAATAGCTGAAGCATAAGGAATGTTCTTCATTTCTTCCTTTTCAATCTCAAGCATGGGACATTGGCTCAGATTGAACTTGTCACCCTTAACAATGGGTGCAACACTAGGTGAACAATCCTTCATCCTAAATCTCTCAAGAATTTTATTAATATAGGCCTCTTGAGATAGTCCCAAAACATGTTGGGACCTATCCCTATGAATCTTAATGCCAATGACATAAGATGTCTCACCCATATCTTTCATACTAAAATGTTGAGAGAGAAATTCTTTCACCTCATACAACAAACCCAAATCATTGGTTGCAAGCAGAATATCATCTACATATAAGACAAGAAATATGATTTTGCTCCCACTAACCTTGTGGTATATACACTGATCCATGACATTATCTACAAAACCAAATGAAGAGATAATAGTGTGAAATCTTAAATACCACTGTCGGGAGGCTTGTTTAAGTCTATAAATGGACTTCTTAAGCTTGCAAACCAAATGTTCACCATCACTTGAAATGAATACATCAGGTTGTTTAATATAAACCTCCTCAATCTCCATTGAGGAAATCTATTTTCATATCCATTTGATGTAAATCTAAATTGAAATGGATTGAAATGGGCAACTAATGCCATGATGATGCATAAGGAATCCTTTTTAGAAACTGGAGAAAATGTTTCTTTTTACATAAGAAACACTTGGTGTTGTCCTTGTTTCCTTTGCTTGTAACCTCATGCAACTTGCCTTTTCCCTTCCACTTCTTATTCTTGTTTGAAGTGTGCTTGACATTTCCTATCACTAGATGTGTAGTTTCATTCACTTCCTAAAGCAATGTCTCCTCCTCTTGAACACACATGGTCAAAAGTTCATTAATTGACCATTTAGCCTTTTTGTGTATTATAGGATATCTTGAAAGTAGTATAATGAGATGAGAGAGAGTTCAGGGCATAATGCACCAAGAAATCATCATTAATCACCATCTGAAGAGATCTCAACTTAGCAGCAATGTTCCTCATTTTCATAATGTGCTCACGAACTCCTTTAATATCGGTGAACTTTATGGATGTCAATCTACTCATTAGGGTGCTGCCTTATCTGATGTTTCAAACTGAGTATGAATTGCATCCATTAGATCCTTGACATTCTCACACTTCGATATCGACCCACGAATACTACTCCTAATGTGAGATTTGATAAACATCATGCCTAAACGGTTGGATCGCTCCCACCATTCATAAAAAGCAATCTCAGCCTAAGTGCTAGTATCCGTAGGTATAGGTGGCTTTTCCTTATGAAGAGCATAGTCAAGATCAATGCATCCTAAATGAAGAAGGATAGCCTCCCCTCTTGTTTTTGTAGTTGTCATCATTTAAATAAGGAACTTTATCCTCAACCATCATCAAAGTTTGATCAATTGTAAGTATATCAACATATTTGCTTACTAAATAAATTATGAGGCACAAACCATCAACAACAATTATAAGTTTACCAATGTAAAACAAATAACAAATCATAAATGAATCGACATATCATAAAATCTCCCTATAGGTAAAGACATTACATATTATGATTCATTATCCTTTAATGATGAAATTAAAAATTATTAATATTTCATAATACCTGTGGCCTAATTAAGAAACAAGAATAATTTCTATTTCATCGTAATTAATCATGAAAATATAACTTTCTCTGTGGGTAAAATAATTATATTAACATGATTAACTACAAAATGATGTCATTAAATTTAATATGATCATAATTAATATTACTTAATGCATATATTATCATAACTTAGATGTTGTGACTACTCTAATTTAATCAAATATATATGATCATAAAACATCATATAGTTGTAACATGAAGTATTGCATATAACAAAACATAACATAAATCAAAACAAGAATATCACATTATTTATGCATAACAGACTAATAGATGTCATAAAAACCATCACATGCATTGTCACCGACTCCCATGCACCATTATGACTCAACCATGCGCAATCACATGTCTCCACATGCCATCACGTGCCTCCAGAAGACAACACAGGCTCGCACGCCCTGACATGGCCCTCCCTTGCACTACACGCACCAACACGGGCGCAAACACACCCCCACGAGCCGGCACGCGCTCACACGCACCTTCACGGGCGTACACGCGCCAACAATCAACGCAGGTCTATTTGACCCGTTTGACCAGGTCGGGTTGACCTTTTACCCAATTCGTTGGTTTTGACCCGCTAACCGGTTCGTTGACCCGGTTTGACCTGTTGACTGATTCGTTGACTTGGTTTGGCCTTTGGCCTATTTAATCGGATCGAGTTGACCTATTGGGTCATTGATAAGTTTGACCAGGTCAAAATGAACCAATTTGACCTTTGACTTTGACCAGGTCAGTTTGACCGGTTTAGCCTTGACCGGGTCGATTTGACCTGGTTTGACTAGTTCTTCTTAACCCGGTTTTTGCAAATCTTTAACCCATTTTTGGCAATTTTTAATAGCCCAATTGTAGCCATTTTTCCAGCATTTTAGAGGGGAAACTTGAACATGGACATATGGCCTATGTCGATGACATCCCAAATGATGTTTTCGTCCCAAATCGATGTCGTAAATGGCTGTCGAAATCACCCAAACGATAATTTTTACTGAAATTTTAAACTAGCATAACTTTGCAACCACAACTCGGTTTTTGACAAATAATATATCGTTGGAAAGCTCTTTCAACAAGGATTCCAATGATATCAAAATCGAAAACAAATATGATTTATAGAAGAAATTATGTCCTATTAAATTTACGGGTATTAATATAAAAAGTCCAAATTTTATGCAATATACTCTAATTTGCAACAAACAATTACATGTCAAGTAGAGATTAAAAGAAAGGCTCTGATACCACATGTAAGATCAATAAAATAAAATCACTCAGACTCAACATGTATATATTCATATCATTATTCATATACATGTTCATACAATCATGGAGATCTGCATAAGCGAAATAACTTAATCAGTAACCTCCAGCCATAGTAATCTGTTGTTGCGGTATTCTTCAAAGATTACAGACTCTTCCAATGCACTGCAATTCTCAGAAAGATGGTTTTTGAGAAATCAGAATTAATTGCATATATTGGGGACCTATAATTGTTCCCTTTTTAAAGTATGTAAAAGTTTTTCCATCAATGACAACTGTTTGGGATAACTGCTAAGAAACTTCTTAGCAGTTAAATTTTATTTAAAACTAATATATAAAAGTGAATGACCAAATAGTAATTTTAGGCAATAAATTTTAATTAATTAAATTCTAACAATATGTCTTTTAATATTTTGATGTTAATAAACATTTACTTATACTATTGGTTAATGAGATCCGTATTTTTAATAAGACGAGGATGTTCGCATCCGAGATTGAAAAGTGAGATAATGAATATGGAAGCATATCAACCGTAATTTATATATTTATCTGTGCTGAAATAATGGAGGAGATCCCATTTGCTTAATCTTTATGCATGAAAAATGTTGGGTAATACTAATGGGTTAAGATTCGGTCGTTGGACATTCTTTGAAAACTCCTGAACAAATCGAATTCTGCAAGCAGGAAGAATATGTTCTTATAAATGCATGTTGTCTCAAAGTTGTACAAGAATTTATTCATCTTATCTTCCTCCATAAACTCATCAATAAGATACCACTTAATTCCTCCCTTTTTTTTATGAATAATCAATCCTTTTAGCACATTCATTTATTTGTAAAGTGCCTTTTCATTCCATCATTTCTAAATTTTTTATCATAAATTTCTTGAATTTGTTTGAACCTTTTCGTTAACTCTTACATATAAGATTTTTGTATTTTATTATGTACGAGAGTTTTAATTTGTATATTAGTTTAATCCAATAATGTGTTAGGCTTGTCACTAGCCCCATAATATATTTAATTATCGAAACAATGAAATCTATGATAAAACTACCTCTGGGTGGCCTAGTGGTTCGATATGGACTTTTAGGTATACTACTCAAGAGGTCATGAGTTCAAGTCTCTCCTCGGTTGTTAATAGGGGTAGTCATTAGAGCTCTTACCCTGCTGATAGTTTCAGGTCCTAGGGGATTAGTTGAGGTGTGCGTAAGCTGGCCCAGACACCCCTGCTCATTAAAAAAAAAAAATCTATGATAAAGTGTTAGTTGCACATAAAACTTTTATTTTAAACTTGCCTTTAAATCTCCAAGGATTTTGAGACAATAATGGAGATATTGGAGGATGATATATTTCAATTATGCATGTGAGAGATTAGATGTTATGCATAAATGTTGTGGCAATCCTATGATCAATGCTAATAAAAATGTAAATATTCTGGAGATTCGAAAAGAATATTTGAGAGAGTACTGGAATTTATATTTGATGAACAGTTGTTAGTAGCTAGATCTTGTTTGTATTAATGATAGAGGATTAAATTAATTGTTATTGTTAGGCCTTGTTTTTATTGATAATAGCAACATAGTGGATTACCAAATGAATAATATATTTAGCACTTCTATTTGGTGGATAATTAATTGTTGAATCCTTACCAAAAACTTTAAATATTTTTACCATCACAATTAAAAAATTCGTGCTCAAATCCTTCACATATCACTAATAATTTATTCTCTTTTTTCTCTCTATGTAGTGGACCATAATTAATTCTGAATCTGAAAATTGTATCTTCTAATGTGAAATTATAAATCCAATTTTATAGAACTTGAAAACTTTGGTGAGTTTGGTGGGTGTCACCTAAAACTTGTCTTTTATAATAATCAATAGCCCCACCATAATCACCACTTGAGTGAGTTCTATTTGCATTATTAAGTATAGAACAAAAACATGCAATGAATCAATGATATTGCGAGGTCAGCAAGGAAACAAAAGCAAAACACCTGTCGACTCTTTGCATGCAATAATACACAAAATCGTGGTCTTCATTTAATGATATCAAACTTTAACCTCACTGGGTTTCTGCATGCATGCATGTATAATCATATTAGTGATTGGTTGGTGAGAAAATTTCATTTAGTGAAAATATATGGATTGTTTTATTTCTAAATATCTTTAATTATTAACAACAATAATATTATATTGTCTTGTACTATATAAAGGACCTTAAATTCCAAGCATTTTATATATCTTCAATAATTAACCATCATTATGAATTTTTTCATTATTATCAACTATTATTTTATTTTTTTTTAACCGAGGATGTCCTAGCCATCTTTCATACATCTCGATTATTCTCCTATGACTTTAGAATTATCGGTTGGTAACTATTAAATTAAATTAATATGCATGCTATTGAAAAATATTAATTTATTGTTGCGTGTAGAAATATATCGAAAACATACCTTTCTATTATCTCAAAAATGTTGAAGTTGTCTTAAACATGGTATACAGTCAACTTAACCTTAATATGCAATTGATTTTTCAATCCTTTGATCAAGATGATTAGGAATTCAATCCATGATGAAAAATCAAAGGGTTGTGAACCTTGGACAAAGATGTATGGTGTCACACTAGATGATGACTAACACAATTGGAGTTTGAAATCGGGAAAAGAAGATTTTATGATAAAGTGGGAATGAATGAGGGTCGTCAAGATAATAAACACAAAAGGCCCACAAAGCATTAACCCACCAACATTAGTATAAAGTGGAAGATGACTCCCATTAACTTTGCATAAAGTTAAGGTAAGGCTGCGTTTGGTTGAGCCTTTTAAAAATGACTAGACAATCATCATCACCTTTACCAAACAAACAGGCCCTAATTTTTTATTTTATTTATCAATTCTTAAAATTAAACCCTCATCTGGGTCCCCAATTCTATTGTTTGTAATTCACCATGTGATTTCATTTTAATGATGCCACCCTCGACTTGGCCCCATCACCATCACCACCACCCACACTCCCTCTCATCATTTTCCCCACCACACTCTCCAACATCACACATGCTCTGCCACCACACTCGATCATCCACTCCAAAATTCTCTACTTTTTCTTCTTTATTTTCAATAATCTCGTGATATATGATCCTTAAGATTATTATATATATTTGAAGATTGTTCCAAACTTAAACATAAATAAATAACTCTTTATCATAAAAAAAAATCCCATAACTGAAAAATAAATATTTTTTTTATTTGAATCGTTAAATAACATCTTCTCATTTTAGAAATAGTCACAAAACCTTTTACAATTACTCTTTTTTGTTTAAAATCACCGCTTTTTAATGTCATATTGTAAAGTAAAAACTTTCATTGATATACGATAGTAATTCTCTATATTAAGACTATACTTAAGTATGATCTTAACATAGTAACGTCCTAACTTAAATAAAATCCAAATATTCGCCAATTTTTTGCTAATATTGAATCACAACCGTCCATTCTTTGTCCAATCAAACATTTTAGAAGTGCATGTAGACTAAAACTCAACAGTTTCATCCCACTCCCAGCTATATAAATATATAAACAAAACCTAAATCCCATGAAGAGAAACAAAAGTTGGAGCTGCAAAGTTCAAGTTGTGATGGAGAAGAGCAAGTCATTTCCAGAATACTCATCGTCTTTTTCAGGCGAATTCGGGTTCCAAGATCGATCAAATTCATACACCTTCAACGGCCCATACAGCAAAGGAAATGGATTCGCCTCATCAACTGATCCAGAGCTTAAAAGGAAGAAAAGAATAGCCTCCTATAACGTTTTCACCATGGAAGGTAAGGTTAAATCCAGCGTCAGAAACAGCTTCAAGTGGATCAAGAACAAGGTCACTGATGTTCGTTATAGCAGTGTTTGATACTTTGATACTTCATTGTTTTGCCAGGTCATGAATTGTATACAGTTTTTTTTTTTTTTTTTGGTGTGTTTTCTTCTTGGTTTATTTTCTTGGAAAATTTTATTTTCTCAGGAAATCAACACAAAGAGATGTTTAAAGTTCTCTTCGCACGGATACTTATTGGGGTGTAAGTGTATTTGGGTTTAATGAAAATATAACTGATCACGAGTTTTTTCTTATTTCTCTGTCTACCCTTATCTTGTTTATTATTTCAGAGTATTTTTTTTTTCCTATTATTTTTCAAAAATCAAGCTCTGGATTAATTTTTTATGGTAAGGGTATGCTAAAAATCATCAAACTAATCAATCTCTCAACCTTTTGATTAAGATGATCATGTAATGGATTTGGAATTTCATCAAATAATACCAATTCAAATCCCATTCATTTCGACTTTTAATCTCTTACATCTCAAATCACTTAATCAATCATCTCAGTTTCTCAAATTCTGATCCATGTTTNTATTTTCTCGGGAAATCAACACAAAGAGATGTTTAAAGTTCTCTTCGCATGGATACTTATTGGGGTGTAAGTGTATTTGGGTTTAATGAAAATATAACTGATCATGAGTTTTTTCTTATTTCTCTATCTACCCTTATCTTGTTTATTATTTCAGGTTTTTTTTTTTTTTTTTCCCTATTATTTTTCAAAAATCAAGCTCTGGATTAATTTTTTATGGTAAGGGTATGCTAAAAATCATCAAACTAATCAATCTCTCAACCTTTTGATTAAGATGATCATGTAATGGATTTGGAATTTCATCAAACAATACCAATTCAAATCCCATTCGTTTCGACTTTTAATCTCTTACATCTTAATTCACTTAATCAATCATCTCAGTTTCTCAAATTTTGATCCATGTTTCACATGAAAAGACTTGTTTAAATAATCGATAGAAACTCTTGAGTGTATTACTCAAAATGTCACGAGTTTGAGTCTCTCCTCGATTGTTAATAGGAGTAGTCACTGGAGCTTTTACCTGATCAGTAATTCCAAGGTTTCAGAGATTAGCTGAGGTACGCGTAAACTGGCCCGAACATCTCCAGTCATCAAAAACAAAAAGAACCCTTAACAAGTAAGAACCATTCTAGGTTGCTTGTCTCGCTACCCAAATTCTATTTGATTAGTTGAAATTAATCCTAAATTTATGAGCTTACACTTGATCAAGTTCAATTAATTAGCATGAGGCTTAACTTAACATTAATAAGTTAGGTTTAGGCTTGACCGACCAACAAAGTCAGCTAATGAAGTGCATGCATTACTTAAATAATTATTGCAATATTGAACAATTAATTAGAAAGGAATATCAAAACCACAAATTTTGTTTAATTGTAATCCGCATGGAAAGAGAAGGAGATAATTCAAGATGATTATTGATTGAAATTGACACCCCACCTGAATCTAACCAAATCTTCTATTTTCTAATGCATAATTAATTAAGCTTTGAACAATAAAATATAGATTTATTTTCTTTTTAAAACTTAAATTTTTTATTTTTTTATTTTATTTTATTCTGTGAAATGCTTTCAACGCATGCATGGCTTAATGGGCCATGCTTGGCCCATTATGTCCGTGTTAAGTTTCCAGGATGAGTACAACACTTGATTCTTCTTTGACTTTAATCAGTACAGAAAAGTGATGAATTCTGAAATGACTTTAATGGCATCTTCCTCAATGATACAAACTGAAATCTTTGACAATCCATTGATTGTCAAGAGTATTAGGGAAAAAACGTTTACTAGCTAATAGCGAGTTACAATATAAAATTCCGGACAATCTGAAGCACAAATTGGAGTAGTTGCGCAAAGTATGGTGTATTTATTACTTTTACTTAGTGTAAAGAGGAAAAAAATGTTAAAAACAATATGGAAATGAGAAAATAAAACTGAAAAAAAAAAAAAAAAAAAAAAAAAAAAAAAAGAAGAGAAAATATTTCTCATTTCTAATAATCAAATGCATAGAGTTTCCAAGTTATTGTTGTGACTCAATTTCCTGAATTCTCTGGTGGATGCAGACCTATGGACTTGATTTAATCTGTATTTGTTATCAGCATTGTCATTATAATTGTTAGAACGCGTTCTGGAGGGGGGTAATGGAGGCCGGTTTTTTATGTTCTTGCCTGCATTAGGATGATCATGTGTTCCTGGTGACATCTTTTGACGCGAATCCGTGGGTCCGGAGAGCAGGAAAGGCAAGGTATCCGTCTGGTTGCTTTGCTTTGCGCTGGATGAGGTGCTGCTGGTGCTGCTACTGGGCTCGTGGCGTTGCACATCTAGCTCTACAATCTTCTCCTCCGGCTCCTGAAATGAAATGGGATGTAATAACCATAGTCATTCAATTACTTTTAAACTCTATGATCTTCTGATAGAGCTTGCATTCGACAATATAAGGTAACGCTAATGTACATTGTTATGTTTTCTGTTTCATTTATAGAAGGGATTGCTCATGAATAATTAAATGTCAAAGCTTACCTCATTATTTGATTCATTTTCTGGTTTTGGTAATTCAGTGGCTTGATCTTTAATTCTGCGCTCGCGATGTGTTTTAGACCGATGCTTCATTCTAGATCTCCTGTTCCTAAAAGTTGAGAAAAGTAATCAGAACAAGTTACAGAATAACTAAACAGAGATGAAACCATAGCAAATTTAAAATATGAAGTACAGAAACAGAAGGCCTTGACTTACTTTCTATGTTCGATCGCAGTGGTTGAGTCGTCATCCTTGTTATAAATTACAGGCAGACCTGAAAGATCACATGCCAATGGACTTGTGGAAAAGAACTGCAAGCAGAAGGAACTTATTAGCTTGAAATTGGGCAATAATAGTATTTGCAAATCTCAAGACCACTATGATGAATTACATATATAAATCAAAGAAGTTTCCATTTTATAAAGTCTTTAACGTCAACATTTTACTTGCCTCATTTTGGAGAGCTGAAGATGCTGAGCCACGATATGCGGGGTCTAATGCGAGAAGAGTGCTCAAGAGACCCAAAGAAGATTCGGGAAAATCATGGAAGACTTCGAAAAGACAAGGTTTGTATGGTGGTGGCCTGAAAGTTGTGGACAGCTTCAATTTTTTCCAGTAGTCCTCTGATGGTGCACCACATAGCTTGAAAATCCTGTGAAGTTGCTCAACCTGAGTGCATTAAAATTTGATGTCATCAGAAACTTACAACCAATAGAAAGATTTATTGAACCTCTAATCGAAAAAACTGAAGCGATTCAGTGACTGTGATCGATGATTGCAAGGTTTTACCTCGGTTCTACCAGGCATAATTGGCCTGCCTGCAATCATTTCTGCCAAGAGGCATCCAGCACTCCATAAATCAATACCAACACCATAATTTGTGGTGCCCAACAACAGTTCAGGGGCTCTATACCAAAGTGTCACAACTCGGCTTGTGAGGGGGCGCTTTTGGTTTGGAGAAAAGTAATTTGCAAGTCCAAAATCTGCGATCTTTAGCATCCCATTTTTATCAATCAACAGGTTTGATCCCTTGATGTCGCGATGTAAAATCCCTCTTTCATGACAATGCTGCAGACCTGAAAGCAGTTGATGCATATAACACTTCACCTGCGTCCAAAAAAAACTGAAATTTTAGCTACAAATCAAACTGAAACCGCCAATTTCAGTCATGAAATAACCATCATTTGCACCTGAGGTTCAGTGAGTCTCCCATCAGGCCGGGAGATGACTCTTGTTAAATCTGACTGCATGAAATCAAAAACAAGATAAAGACTGTATTGCATTCTTGATGTTGCCAATCCTTCAAGCTTTACTACATTGGGATGATCCAACTTCCGCAAAATCATAATTTCTCTTGCCATAAATTTCACACTCTCAGGTTCTGATGTATCGAATCGAACCTTCTTCAGGGCAACAATTTTTCCAGTGTCTCTATCTCGAGCTTTATACACATTGCTGTAAGTACCCTGCCCAACCTGTTCACAAACAGTCCAACCCGATTCAGCAAAATTAGCTAAACAATTACCTTTTCTTTCTGAAAAACTTAAGAAAAACAACAATATCCATTACCAAAATAAAGCTAATCACAACTCAACTAGAGCTAATTCAATAAATTGGCCCAAGCATAAAACATAACATCAAAAACCCTTTTTCGGATTAACAAAATTTGCACAAAATCATTCATTCCAATCAATTAAAGGAAGCTCCATGAAATTAAAACAAAGTGAACTTCAAAAAGAAAAAGAAAAAATCAGTTCTACCTTGTCAAGTTTATCATAGGACTCGGCACTTTTCGGAATTAAACCAGCCAAAGCCTCTCTAGGAACATTATCAATGAGCCATTTAGGCCATCCATCAACCACCTCACCATCCTCATTATTTCCACTCTGCAAATCTCTTTTCACTCCACTATTAATCGCTTTCCCTTCACCACTACTTTCAGGAACAACAGGCAAGTCCGGCCTAAGAATCCGGCCGCCGCCCAGTTCCCTCTCATTGTATCTCTGACCCGTGGATCTCCTGTGGCCCATCATGTCTTTCCCCACGTAACCATTTTCCATTTTCAACTTGTTCAACCCTTTAGCCGGTGAGTTCATCGAGTTCTTGGCCTGTACACATCCCATGACTTTTTTTATCCAGTCCATTTTCAGTTTTTAAAGATTCTTGATGAATTGCATAATAAAGGGAGAAGAAGAAGAGAGAAAGAGAGACACTTGGTGGAGTTTGAGAAGGGAAAGAGATGGGAGAAGAAGAAGATGATAAAGAAGTGCCGGCCATTGCCATTGGCAAAGGCCGGCACTTTTGTATTGTTGTGGAAAAGTACATTTTGGGGGTCTTGTTCTTTGCTTTTTCCGCTAAAAATAACAGAGAAAAAGAGTGAAAGACACATTGAACATCACATTTTCTTTTCACCTCATTTGGGTTTTTGTTTCAACTTTCAACTGTTCTTGGCGGGAGGGAACATGAAGAGAGTACTAGGAGCAAAAGCGGTTTGAACGAGTCCCACCAGAAAAAAGGGTTTCAATGTACCACGATTTATGTAATAAAAATATAAATTGTTATAACGATTTTTAAATATTATTAAAAAAAATTATAGGTTTATTAATTGGCATCAAATATTCATGAGGATTTAGTGTATGATAAAGCTTGTGATTTGTTCCAACAAGATTTAAAGTTCGAGACATTTTCACAATTAAACTCGAGTTTGCGAAGTAAGTCAAGTATGGAAGATTTTTGGATTATATATATATTCTAACCATTTTTTTAATTATTAAATATTCTTATTAGGTTGTTACAAAGAAATAACCCTAAGAGGTTGGTCTAGTAGTTAATAAAGTTTACTCTCTTCATTGATTTATTGGGTTTAAACCACCTTGAGGTCACTTATCATATTTGTGGTTTACTTGAAACATTAGTCTTGAAAGCTATTCAATGGATCTCAAAGATTAGTTGAAATGCATGCTGGTTCGAACACTCTGATTAACAAAAAAAAAAAAAAATTTACGAAGAAATTATGAGTCATTAAACTATAATTTAGGAATATTGTTGAGACATTTAATACTTACCGAAGTATTATAGATGGATGAAATTAACCTTAAAAGCATAAACATTCATATTATCTTTGGTTTAATTAATTTATGAGTGAATTTTTAAATAAATGCACATAAAGAATTACACTTTCTGGTGTAATAAACATTTTCAGTTCAACCAATCATATAATGTTGTATATGATATTATGATATGTGCTAATTTAGTACATTTCAATGGTGAGATGCATGGCAAGTCAATATCAGTTCAACATTGTCGAAGCATGATCGTAGTATCAACTATCAACTATCAATCCTTACAAGAGTAAACGACTTCCCACCCAAAGAATGGCTTCATAACACTTTTTTATCAACAGATTTTTATAATACTATTTTATTACTTAAATTTATATTTCGTTTCTGATTCTATCATCGTCACTCTCCCATACTATTATAATTCGTTTCCTCCATCATCACTTACTAAAACTCTTCAAACTCTACTCTCGTCAATCACGGGCAATCAAACGATTAGGGTTTATACAATCGACTTTCTCAAGTCAAATTCTGATTAATTTCAATCACCAAAAGACTCATTGGCCTCCCCTCTTCAAAAGATCTAACAACCTAAACCGAGATTATTCTCTATTCGTCGTTGGAATATAAATTTGTATAATAAAATGGTATTTTAAAAGTTTGTGAGGGAGAAAGTTTTATTAAATCATTATTTGGGTAGAAAAAAAGTCTTTAACTCATCCTTACCATGTGAAAAAAATAATATTTATTAATCAAACTTTATAAATTTTGGTAATGTTATCAGATTAATATCATAGAATTGTTTTTTTTTTTTTTTTTTTTTAAATTATTTTCGAAGAAATCTTGGCCTTGGATTTGGGCCACTTGGTAAACTTACAAATATATAACGCTCCAATTTCAGTAAGTTACCAAATCAAAATTCAAGAAAAGAGAATTTGTAAGGAATTTTACATCCTGGCAAAAGAAGACAAAAAAACAGTCCACTATGATTTGCCACGTCATCAAATCATAGGTCAGGTCTACCCTGAAGTGGTGAGTTTCTGTTCCTCTAGGCTCTAGTTTCAGGCTACCAGCCAATTCACATACGCTGTTTTTTTCTACTCTCGGGGCTGGCCTTTGAATAATTTTCAATGCCCTTTTCCCACCCATGAAAAATCCATTAAAGTCTTATGAAACTTGGAGCTTTTGAGTTCAGTTTCAGTCTTGCCCTCTTCTCACTTTANATAAAATGGTATTTTAAAAGTTTGTGAGGGAGAAAGTTTTATTAAATCATTATTTGGGTAGAAAAAAAGTCTTTAACTCATCCTTACCATGTGAAAAAAATAATATTTATTAATCAAACTTTATAAATTTTGGTATTGTTATCAGATTAATATCATAGAATTGTTTTTTTTTTTTTTTAAATTATTTTCGAAGAAATCTTGGCCTTGGATTTGGGCCATTTGGTAAACTTACAAATATATAACGCTCCAATTTCATTGAAGTTACCAAATCAAAATTCAAGAAAAGAGAATTTGTAAGGAATTTTACATCCTGGCAAAAGAAGACAAAAAAACAGTCCACTATGATTTGCCACGTCATCAAATCATAGGTCAGGTCTACCCTGAAGTGGTGAGTTTCTGTTCCTCTAGGCTCTAGTTTCAGGCTACCAGCCAATTCACATACGCTGTTTTTCTCTACTCTCGAGGCTGGCCTTTGAATAATTTTCAATGCTCTTTTCCCACCCATGAAAAATCCATTAAAGTCTTATGAAACTTGGAGCTTTTGAGTTCAGTTTCAGTCTTGCCCTCTTCTCACTTTAAGGTAAATGCTTTACTAGTCAAAGCTGATAAAAACTTAGTCTTTTTAAGCTTGTTTGATGTTCTTTAGCTATAACCCAAGATTTCCCTTGTTGAAAAGTTTGTTTCTTGAGTTTATCGTGTGTTAAATCTTTGTTTTTTTGCATGTGGGATGAACAGAGAAAGTGATTTAACTTTTGTGTTTTGTGGACCACACAATATGGATTATTGTTCTTGATCGAATTTTAACTGATTATTTTGCTTTAATTTCGTCTTAATATAGAAGTCGAGCACTGTGTTAGCACCAGTTTCAATGTGAAAATGATGTTATTCTAATGATCTTGTGTAACATTTCATGTTCTTGTGTTAATTTGGTGTAAAAATGTTCCAATTGTGACATTGTGTGTTATTAATATGACTTTTTACGTTACCAGAATATGTTGATCTTGATAACGGTAGGATACTTTTATCCCTGTGTTGTAGTATTGCCCGGATAACATGGTCATTTTTTTTTTTTCTTTTTTTTTTTTTTTGTTAACTCTTTTGCGAGAAGAGGATGAATTTGAAACAAGTGCTGAAAATATTTTGTGGTTTGGCTAGGTGAGTAATGTGCTGTTTTGTGTAAGGTTTGGTTTGTAAAAGTATGATTTTTTGTAGGATGGAAGGAAAGCAGTTGTGAGAGGTAAGAAAAAGGCGGTAATGGTAAATCAAATTTTAGGTTCAAGAAGATATGATATACTAAAAATTTTCATCTCTTTAACAACTTTTAATTTGTCGTTTTTCTTTCCATTTCTATCCACATTGAAGCAGAGATTCTTGCGAATTGACACACGCACACGTGCTCTCACACGCTTATACATATATATACTTAATTTGTACGTGTAGTTGCTCTTATACTTCTATCTTTCAATGTGCATTGTGATATGTGTTGGCCAAGTCCATTCATGGCATTATTGGAAATAGATTTTGTTGTCAAAATAGAATGTTTGGATTATACATTTTGAATCATTACTGGCACAACAAAGCTATAATGCCAAAATAAGCATGGTTCGGGTAATAATTAAAACATGAGGAGAACATTACTTCTTGTCTATCTTTATAACAGAATTATGTGAGGATTCATGTATTGATTGGCATTATTTGACCAGAAATTGTTGAGTTGAAACTTCAACAAAGTTAAGGTTGAGGTTAGCCGAAATATGAAAATGCTGTAATGATTACCGCTTTATCAAAGTTTATCTGTTTTTGCAGTAAGCTTCAACAAGTGAAAATGTGTTGCTATCAGGCATGGGAAGGCGATTCACCTCAGGATGAAGATTCTCCACCAAGTATGGGAGATGGCGTCGACAATGTAACATCTTGGGAAAGGAGGTTGGAAATGTTGGCAGCGCGTGTAGCAAGGATTGAAGCTCATGTGCTAGGACTAGAGGCAAGGTTGTTGTTTCTCCGAAGGGCATTGCGTCTTGTAACTGCGATGTTTCTTCTTACTCTTGTCTATGCTATAATCAAATGAATGCTTAGATGACAAATCCATCTGTTGTAGCTCTATTGCTCTCAGGCTGTAAGCTGTCAATTTTCAGAAATTCGGTGAAAAGAGAAAGAAAATTGTCGTTTAAAGGGTTTTACAACTTTAATTTGTCTCTCTAATACTAATGATGATCAATACCATGCTTTGTCTGTCTTTATGAGTGACAATCACTAATTATCAACTTACTGTGCCAGAACTTTTTATTCTTCTTTGGTTGTTTCCTTTTTTTTCCCTTATCCAGAACTTCACTTCGCATTAAGAATAAAACCTTTTAAAAGGGTTCATGAGTAATTGCATTGAATTGAGATTCTACTTTGAGAATGTACTTTGGTGAAAATGTTTTCAGAACCAAGATTGTTGTTACAGCAATTGGTTTAAGATGTTGGATAGCTAACACTGTAACATTATCCAATAAACTGCACCGTGTTTGTGACATCAAACAGTTGATTTTGAGATAAATTGACAAAGACTCACTTGTTCATTTGAAAAAGAGGTTTTTCTAGTGTTCCAAAATTAATTTCCAGAAATGTGATTTATGGTTTTACCTCCAAGATTGAGATTTTTTTTTTTTTCACTTATCATTTTACATAATGATCTATAAATACCCAGTTGCCATATCTCAGTGCAGAAAAAAAGTTTCATCTCTCCAAACATTTAACATAAGAATATTTCTTTTTCTTTTCTCTCTCTTTATGCTGTTTCAAGACTTCAGATCTTTTTATGTAGCCTTTATAATTTCAATGGATTTAATTTTCCAGTTCAACATGAACAACACAAAGCAATTTGTTAAAAGAAAACAAGAAAGAAAGGTAACAACTCAACCAATTTCGCTCCCTGCTCAAATATATAACCAAAAGGAAAAACTGTGTACTTGTGAATCAAGTGAATTCTGAAATTACATCTTTTGATTATCAATTGATAAACCAAGAGAAAATGAAACAAGTTACAGAAGAAGTTTCGGATGGAAAACGTTGGATATAACTACAACAATTACAGAAACCAAAAAGTATACATGGTTTAAGGGGTCACGCAGAAAACTCATTCCAGATCTACTATCCCGAAATTCGAGAGAAGGATCTTCACTTGATCAACAAAGTCCGAGCCTGTTGCATACTCTGTTAGCATTCCAACTGCGAAACCAAACATTGCCCACCTGCCAACCAACACAAATAAAGATCAGAGATGGGACTAAATAAGAACCCAAATTATTTCTCACAGAATTTAGTTCATCTAGAAGTTGTTATGAGTTCAGGATAACAGAATGTTAATAAAATTCCAGTTCTTTCACACAACAGCTAAAGGCAAACCAACATGATTGAACATTCATCGAGTCCAAATGTAAATGTCAGGACTTTCAAGTTATATTGATGCACAGCTAGAGGCAGATCCAGAGTTTAGGGACTCCCTAGTCCTCAACAATTTGATGCTTTCTTTTGCTTTGCATCAAACGTTTAAAAGTAAGAAAAAAGAGGTTCTAACATTCTCCTGCCCTCAGAAAAGAATGCTGATATTGTTTACTTGGGTTAGATTGATAGGAATTTGCAGGTGCTATACATGAGCTTAACTGAGAAATTACAACTACTTTGTAAAACCAGTGGTCTACTATCAGAGGTTGAAAAAGAAAAGGCCTACTAAAAAGAAACACCAAACATCTACTCCAGTATATAAAGAAATAGTAATGAATCAAGATGCTTCACTACTAAAAAATATAGCTCATAGTAACTAACCCTTTCTTTAAAAGTACAATAGCATCAGCTAAGTAAGCTTCGATGCATCGATTTTATGGAAACATGAAACTCCAGTCATGTCAAAAGCACTAGATTTTACACACAATTTTCTTCTAAACCAGTCTAAACATAATTACACTGAACTTCTTGGTCCAACGGAAGTGAAAACATATGCAAAATGGATGCTTTCTCTCGGCGCATAATAAAATGCAAAGACCTTAAAAGTAATTTTACTGGGAACTTGAAGGAAACATCAACATCAAAGCAAAGAAATTTGACTCCTTAATTGAACTTTAAATTGAAGGAAATACACAAATTTTCCATTGACTTCTACACAATCCATCTACCTTTTTCTCTTTGTTCTTTGCTCTTTTGCACTACACAGATTTCCATAGCGAAATCTCTTCATACCTCTCATGAATCACTATCCACTTCCATCAAATTCAGTAATTCAATTTCAACACAAAAATGAGTTAATTCACACAAACCCAGATACCCATTTGACCTTCCTAAATCCCAACTCAAATAAATTAATTAATAAAAATTAAACAAAAAATTACCTGCCATTGGCAATCTCATTCTTTCCAATGAACCCAAAGAATGGCCCTGCATTAGCTTCCTCAAGCTTCTTCTGCTTAAAATATTCCTGAAGCTCCTTAGCCTTCTGCCTCTGAAACTCCAAGGTAATCACATTCTGATCCACCCCACTTGCCGCCACAGCCGGCTTAGGCGAAGACGACGACGGTGGTGTAGGCGGCGGCGGTGATGGAGGGACAGGCTGTTTGAGTGTAGAGGGCGGAGAGGGCTCTCTCACAGGAGGCGCCACAGGTCTCCTTATAGGCCCTTCAGCCTGAGAACAATTTACAGAAAATGCCCCACCTCCAAGCTGCGGTTTTGTTCTTGAAAATCTATAAAAAGAGGAACTTGGTATTGAAAGTGATGAGCTTGAAGATGACGAAGGACAAGAAGAGCAACAGGTTGATGGACTTGGGATTTTGATACATGGGATTGAAGAAGCTACTGACATGCTTTTTTTTTTTTTTTTTTTTTTTTTTGCGACTTATCTGTACTTTGTGTTCTTGATTTTACTTCTGTTTTTGTTGTTTTTGTGTTTTGTTTTCAGGAAATTGAAAGAAAAGATGGTGTAGAAGAGTGTGGGTGTGTGTGGATAAGGAGTGGCAGTTTTCAAAGGAGAGATGGATGGTTCGGTTCGTATGGTGAAAGAGAAAGGGACAATTTTGTTGAGACCCCTAATTATTACTTTTGTAAAAGTCCTTATAGTTTGAAATTTATCACAAAGATTTCTAAGTGGGAGCTTGATTAAAAAGACAAAATAAGAAGGATATGAAAAGTTAGATTGATGGAATGGTAAAATCCATCACCACTGGATGGTTGATGGTAAAGAGAAAAAATATTTCATGACTCTTGAGTTCAAATCTCCCCAACACTAATAAGGGGGGACCATGTGATTTTTACTCCGTCGACAGTTCTAACTCTCGAGAGATTAATTAAAGTGTGCGCAACTGATCAAAACACCCCGGTGATTAAAAAAAAAAAAAAGAATTGTGTAAATTACGATCAAATGTATAAGAATTCTTCTCACTGTTTTTTCTTTTTTTTACTATTTCTTAGACATTTCGTTAATGGACTACAATGTCAGTTTTTTAGTGAAGGAAAAGTTTATAGAATATATTTTCAAAGAATTATTTCATTTTTTCGAAATTTGTCATCTCAAATGATTTATGTTCTTAATTGGCATTTAATATGTTATGATGTGCTAATATGATATCTAATATAACATTGTACACAAAATTAACATTTATTTAGGATAAAAATTTACAAAAAAAAAAAAAAAAAGACAAAAGAACCTTGTGATGATTTATGACATTACAATATTAAAAGGATGTTTGTGTTTTTAAACTAAAGTTTAGGGACCTCAGAAACTTACCCTTAAGAGAAACTAACTGTTGGTCGCTTGGCGCCAACTGCTTTTCAGAGTACGTGGACGGCACGTGCAAATTTTAAAAGGCTGTTTACGATTGACGCGCTCTTAGTGCGACTGGCTGCGAATTTCCTTTTCGCGGTAATGCTACAATATGGTGGCTCTCCCATGATAAATTTTTTTTAAATATATTCTTTAGAAAAATTATTAAATATCTATAAAAATTTAACAAAATTCTCTAAAATATTCAAAAAAAAATCCTCTAAAAATATTAAAAATTATATGTTAAAATAAAAAAGACGAATTTAGTAATAATATGACATTGATTTGGAGCAAATGAAATTATGAAACATTACTTACCATGAAACAATAAACAGTACAAAAAAGAAAAAAAGGCATAACAAAAATAATATAACAAAACAAAGTGAATCCGAGTGACAAAATTGAAAACCTCAACAATTAAATATAGACACAAATGATAAAATCCAACAAAAGTGACCAGAAATGAAGCTCCTATCCTTTATGCATTCTTTTTGTAGAGATCAAAAACTTGCTTTCCTTTCTCCAGAAATCAGTCAAAGCAGGCGTAAACCAGACGAATGGCGTTAGTAGTAATTTTATCCGATGCGTCACTGCGTTTTAAGAAACGTCAAAGTCCACAAAAGCTGTTGGCAAGAACAAAATCACATGATTGTGCATGAACAACTTCTTTCAATTCCATGGTCAAATTCATCATCTGATCCGCCCAGTTCACTGCCATAACAAAAAGTTTCTTTCTAAGCCAATCCACAATCATGAGAAACAGCAAGTTCTAAATAACAGTGGAAAGTGTAACACTCAGAAGAACAGGAAAAGCAAGAATATGGAAGTGAGAAGCTTTACCTTCAGCGCATAAACAAGCATATGCTCCGCATGAGTTTAAAAATAAACATGTTGAACAAGGATGTTTTACATATAAAATATATATGATCTAATCTGTTACCAATTTGAACAGGTAAACGACTGTGTAAAGAATTTTTTTAAATGCATTGTGACACTGAGAATTGGGAGTAATGAACAAGCGGGACGTCAATTTTTCAGTATCAGTTTATATGGTAACACAGACAAATGGACACTGCCAACATAATATGTGTGCAAGACAAAAAGAAACAAACATTTAAAAACATATCTAAACCCATCCTTCAGATACACAGAAAGGATTGCAGGAGAGAGACCTGAATCCATATAATAGAATTGAGATCAACTTTGAATAGTGCAGTATATTTGAGAAGTGGCAAAACTAGATCCTACTTAAGAGGTTTAATCTTATTAGAACACATGGAGAAAGGTGGTAAATTTCTAGGTATCCTATCCCTTAACAGCCAACAAGCACCAAAGATAATCTGTACAAGGTTGGTGGGTATGATCAAAGACTTGAACCTTGTCAAGACCTCATAGAGATAGGACTAAATATAGAGACCGAAATACATGCTAGCTTTTGGTTGATATGGTAAGGCTAATCATATACTATAAATTTCATTGAACAGGGGGAGTAGCACTAAAACGTCATTGTATGCTCATTCATATTTTACAAAATATTTTACTCCAGCAGCTCAAATCTAAAGTCTTAACAAGGGACATGAGAAATACGAAGTTTATGGCTCTAGTCTTCTCTGTCCAAATAACCCAAAAGATTGTAATCACAATAAAATTCCACAAAACAGAAGCCATTTTCCCTCCTTCAAAAGCACTATTCTCAATGAACAAAGAAATGCATGAATGCAGAATAAACTACTTATTCTTGCTACCCAAAAGAACACTATACAAGAATCTCAAAGCAAGGGAGCAGAGAAGAAAAAGAGAATTTACAATTTCTGACTCCTCATGCATGATAAACCAATGTTACGACATACGAATATATGGCCTTCTGTTTTAACACTGACCAGATCTATTAATCCTTCCATGTTCATGGATCTTAGCAAGAACTTGTCTTTAAGGTACTTAAGCATTCAAAAATCACCCGGTGGTGTTAAAAAATAAGGCAATGCAATATAGGGAAAAATCAAATAGTGATGAAAAATAGACCAAGTGGGAAGAAAATTACCAAGAAAAAAATTTGGAGGAAAAAAATGGTAAGACAATTTTGTGTTTAATAACAACGTTTATTAAATTAAGTGCACATAAGATAACAACAGGAATAGATTATGAATTATAGCCTTCCAACTTTCACTTTAATCACTTGGCATTAACTACAAATAAGTTCACATATTTCTCTGATAATGACCAAGTGACTATCAATCCCGGGGTTCCAACCCCAATTATGCATTTACTGACAGCTCTAGATTTTTTTATTTGCTAGGAGAGAATCAAGAAAACTAACCTCTACTGAGTATTAAATCAAACCTTCTTTTCATACTGTCAGAATTATTCCTACATAATGCAAACTTGTAAGCAAATTCTAATTCTCATTCTCAAGAACATCACTGTTGATCTTGTTCATACTGGTTATGGAATGTCAACAATGATGGGTCTACCTTGTGTAAAACTATATAATATCTGTAATATATTCTGTCGGCATCCCCTATAGGTTAGGCAAGAATGGAAGATTTGCCAACTTCAAACCCTTAAATAAATAACACAGAGAACTCCATAAAGTTTTATATGCAACCATCAAATCATTATTAGTATATATCCTGCTTGTTATTTTGCACGCCAACTTAAAACCATCAAGTAACCATATATATCAAACACTATGCCCTTATAATCACATCATTACAATCACCATGTCCTGCGTTAGGAAGTTTGTGCTGCAGCACTTTAGTCTATTCCAATCATATTGGTGATTTCTTCTGACCTTTCCAACAATGAATGTATTAATATGGTCTCCAGGTTACTATTTTAACAAAGCACCCAGTTCTTGCATATTTGTTAAACAGCAATAAATGGTTTCACATAACTAACAAGCGTTGTACATACTTCCCATTGATTGACTACTGCCATTGTTCATCAGAATATAACTGACAGGCCAACCTCCGACACAGTTCCAGTTTTATTGTAGTCATTTTTCATCACAACATCATTAAAATTCTAAATTCCGACCTTACTTTAAGCATTTCAAAATGGATGAAGCACTCAGAATAAGATAGCAATGATATTGAGAGTATAAAAATTTAAGTTAAAAGACTTGGATTAGCATGGCATATCCTGTAACATGTTTTGAATCACCATATATTGCAACAGGGTGGATAGAACTTATTCAACAGCTTTGATGTATTTTCCTTAGCAGGCAAAATGAACTGTTACAATAAAAAATCTATGAAAAGCATATTTCCTGACTCCTCCGTATATTTTACATAACAGTCTTGAAAGTAGTAACACCAACTCTATAAAGTTCACTTCAGAGAATAATCAGGCCATAACTAGCTCGATGGGAACTGCTACAAGCATGACAACTATTATGCATAAGTAACTGATAGTAAGACACAGATGTATCAAATTGAGCCCGTCATGCACAAAGATAAAACCATGAGTAGAGACATAAAAACAGTACTTCTACACAAACTATAAATAAAAACATATATGTGCAGTCAAAATATTTCATCTAGGGATGAAAAAATTCCCTTACCTGGCCTCAAATTCCCTAACTTCAGCAAGTTCACTGCCACAAGCATCAGTCCACTGAACTTTCCTCCTTTCAGTGTGACCAGGGATATCACTACCTTTTTCACTCACTTCCTCATGTTCATTAACATTTTGAACAGGAACTGTAATGCTATTTGATGGCTTCTTTAAACTACTCCTAAGAGAAACCTTTCTTACAATACCATCTTCATCCTCAAGATCAACTGTTTGATCCTTTCCCTGTTCAGAAGCAAGAGGCCCTGGCAAACCATCTTGGTGCTGGGTAGGGCCTACTTTGAGAGGTGATGGGGTGTCAAGTCCTGCGGAAGCGCGACCAAAGCAGACAAAGGAGGCGCAGCCGCGGGAAAGCCTATTCTTGGTGGCGGAAGCCAGCTGGAGGTCAGGGTCAGGTTCTTGGTCCACCAACTGGTACTGATTCCACGGGGAAACTCTCATGGGTTTGTCGTCTTCGTTCTTCTGACCCAATAGAAGAAGGGTCAGGCCCTTACTATACCCAGATGCCGAAGAAGAGAAGAACCCTCCTCCTTCCACTGCCAATAGCATCAGTTCTGCTCATCTGGGCACCCAATAAGCTATATTTTCCCTATTGCCACCCACTCTCACAATAATTTCAAATCCACCAGCCCTTCATACACAAACACTTCAAAGTCAGTGACAGCATCATAAACATCATTATCATCATCAACAAACAATAAAGAAAAATCCCACAACTTGAAATTCACCACTTCAATTTCTCATTACAAGTTCACAAAACTCTATAAACAGAAACCCCCATTTGAATAAAATAAATTTTATTTGAAGTCCTAAAAAAATTGAAACAAATTCATTAAAAATTGTAATAAAATAACAACTTGACCACGACTTAAAACCCATAAATAATACTCTTATCATACCACATCATTTATAAGTCATCCAATAAGTAAAATAAATAAAAATTTCTGGATACACCCGTCCAACAACAAAACAACAAATTTAATATTTTAATTTCAATAAGACTTACACATAAACAAAACACAGTAAAGAAATGTGAGATCACTTGAATTCATAATTACTACTAAACATTACAATTGAAGATCTGTTTAACTCGAAAGCAACCAAGCAAGAACTGAAACAAATCAAATCAGCCACCATAATATGTACCACTTTCAAAGCTAAATAAACGAGAGCTCACTGGTCAGCGCAATGTTCAAAACTAAGAATTTTATCTTTTCATTTTCCCGGGAACCAAACGGAATTTTTTCAGATCAAAACGTGGAGGAAGAGAGCAAAGGCACTACCTGACAGGAGAAATGACGGATCTGAGAGAGAAATCTAGTGAAGTAAGTAAATCGGCGGCGCCGGCATGTTGGAATGGGAATTAATCGGCGAGGAATTGAAAATGGGAAGAAAAGAAAAATAAAAATAAAAATTTTGGGTTTTCAAATGGTTGAAATTATTTAAAGAAGGATAGGGACAGTGACTTCTTGGTACATGATAGCAAAATGGGCCCTCCCCTCTTTTTTTATAATTTTTTTTTTAATTTCCTTTTTTATTTTAATTTTTCTACTTTTGGGAAAGTGTTGAAAGATATATAAAATTGTGGTAATTATATAAAGAGAAAGCTTGCTTTTGTTTGCTTGCCTATGCCTTACTCTTTTTAAATTTTATTTATAATTTTACAACTAAAGGTTTTACTTCCATACTATTAATAGAGTAATAAAATATGGGTAATGCTGATGCAAATGATTTTATGAGAATATCAAAGTTTTTAAGTGGGATGTTTTATTTCAAACTCTATTAACCTTTTAAAAACAAAATTGGAAGTGGAAACAATTATTGAAAGTTCAAAATGGAAAATCATTCCCTAGATGGTCAAATGGCTCGATAGATACTTAAGAGGTCTTAAGTTCGAATTTCTCTTCAGTTGCTAATAAAGGTGACTACTATAACTTTTATCCGACCGATAATTTTATGGTCTTTAAAGATTAGTTAAGGTGTACGTAAATTAGTCCGGATACCCTGATAAAAAAAAAAAAAAAAAAAAATTCAAAGTGGAAGTCTTCATTGAAGACTACAATCTGTGTGCTAACCTCTTATAGATGAAAAATGTAGTGATTAATCATCTTCTTAAAAAATTTCGGTTAAATTTTGGACACACATATATTAAATTAAATTGAGTTAACTAATTCTACATTATCCATATATTGGAATTCATAACTCATCCAACTTTAGTGGGATTTTATTTTTATTCCTCTATAGGATATTCCAAAATATATGTATGAAATAAAAGTCATGAGTTAGTTTGTAGTAACAATAAAAAGAAGCATTAAATGAGACAAGTAAAAATAAGAAGAGTAGTAATTTAATGAAGAAGAAATTGAATGAGGAAAGAATTGTAAAGCAGTTATGGCCTCATAAATAAATAACTCATGACATGACCCATCCCAATCATATCCCTATGACGTGGGAGAGATTGTCTCACTCTCACTCCCAAATTGGGCCTGGTAAAAACTAAAAACCCATTAATTCATTACTGGTCCTTGGACTTTGCCCTAATTTCTTTATCTTCAGCATTTAATCAAGTCCTCCTCGGTCTTCGATGGAGTTGTTATCCGGTTACGTATTGACTTATCTCAAAAGACTTTTACTCAAAACCACAACCAGTAAAATAAGAGACACGAACACAATCAATCCATTAACAAATGTTAAAAAACACCCTAATGGTTGCTTTATAAACTACAATGTCTCTTTTTCCTTTTCAATCAATACAATTATACTTACAAACCTGATAGAACTCGAACCCAACAAAAAAAAAGGGCTTGATAGAAAGAAGAATCCCTTAAGCTTAAATATCACACTTAGTGGATGTGAGATCCCAATGTGGGATCATAACATTGTACCTCTTTTCAAGAACCAATTTTCAAGAGGGTTGTTGTTCTATTGACATTGACTTGACGATAACCTTTTCTTCTTTGGACGACTTCACTCACCTATCAGTTATTCAATGCAGCACCCTCTCCCAAGGAAAGTACACTACACCTAAATCTAGTACCTAATTCTCAACGAAAAGCATCAATGTTAGAACTTAAGCCCAAAAATCAACCTGATAGGTAGAAGAACCCACAGGCTTAAGTACCACACTTAATAGGTGTAAAATCCCGATGTATAATCCTAACAAAACTTGTAACTCTTCGTATCTAGTTATACACTATTACACTCTAGTTTCCTCATTAATGACATGAAATAGAAGGGTAATATTGACTAGCATATATAGAGTAAATAAAGGACCACTAGGAGTTCTTAAGAATGGGAAGGGGAAAAGGAAATGTAAGAGATTATTGAAAGCAAAAGATCATGAGAAAAGCTAGTAAATGTCACAGAGAGATACTGTCTTAAGCTTTCCTCAATTATTTACAAAAAAAATTACCCTACATAGAGCTTCATGCAACTTTTTCTTTTTAATAGTCATCTGTCTGTTTTGCAAGTCATACTCTAAAATAGTTGAGAAACAAGAAATAATAATCTTTGATCGTGCATTTTAAATAAAACGTGAACACTCTCTCTAATATGAGAATTTATCAGAAATCTCCATTAATAATAACCACGTCTTTTTGCCTATATTAATTTAATCTCCATTAATCTTGTATAATTTTTTTCTTTCCTCTGCCATTGTGAAGCGTTTGAACTTGACTTATCAATTTGATTATTTAATGGGGTCTATGGCAATCAGGTTTTGTAGGTCATACAATGATGTGATTCATTCCATATATGTCAATCTTGTTTATGGTTCATTGTCTTTAATCACATACTGTTTTTTTCCTTAAACCCAAAAAAAATAAAAAATAATAATAGTGGTCCCCATCTTTATATGAACAAGATTTGGTCACAAAAGTAGTCTAGAAGATGCTTAAAGTTTTGTTAATTTGAGGTGCATGTTTGTCAACTTTGTACTTAAAATGATCATGCCATTCCAGCCCACTAATTGAAGACATTATAGTATTAATTAACCCTAACCCTAACCCTAAGCATGCATGGATATATTAATTAATTAAGCTTTAATTTTGCAAGTGAACTTTGTGAAATGCAAATAAATAAAGAAAGGGAATTAATTCCCTGTTGGATCAATGATTGAGTAGTCAAAAAGTGAAGGTACTAACCTTTTGATGTATAAAAATTTGGGTAAAATTGAGTGAGTTTTTATCAAAGTGTTATGCATATGGGGCCTTTGGGCTAAAAGTTGGGGTTGTAGGGTCAAATTAAACTAAGCTATAATCAACTTTTTACTACAGAAAATTATAGGGACTTGACAAAAAGAAAAAAAAGTAGAAATACAAAACCTTACATGCTGTCAAGACAGTTGTAACATATACCACCCATGACCCATGTCAATGCAATCAAACTAAATTGATCTATATACAAAGGAATGAAAGCCTTCTGACAAAGGTAATTCCTGTAGTATTATCAATTGTGGTAAACAACAACCCAATAACCTAAAGAGAGTAAAAGCATCAACCAAAAAAAGTAAGCTAAAGCAAATGCAAATGGTGGCTGGTAGGTAAGCTGCATATTCATTCTTTGACAAAGCCAATCCAACAGGGACTAAAGCTCTGGCTTTACAAATTGTTGGACCCCATATATTTTCTCTGCTACAAAAAATATATTCAATCACACCGACAACTCTCCTGCTTGAGCACCCATTTAGGTTTCCATCTTCTTTCACTCACAGTTTATCTTAGGCATTTGGCTTAAACACTGATAAATTTATCGTTGAATGTTACAAGTGTACAGAAAAATACTAATGCAAGGAAGAACAAACTAGTAAATTAATGCAAGCAAGTTTGTCGTCTGCACAAAACTTCTCCAGTAGTGTGAAGTAAAATAACTTGAGCAGTAAGTAACATAAATCAGAAATAATGTTGATCTTCTTTACATAAATCTAACTCACATTTCCAACGGTGAATCAACCTAACAAATAACCACTATTTGTTATTAAAATATTCCACGTCGGCGTTTCTCCTTCGACCTAATATTTTCTTGGCTATTTAAATGAATCTGCAAGTGAATTAGAACATGCTATATGAAGCAGATATGCAGAACTATACATTCACATAATAAACTTGAAAATAAATAAGCTAAAAAGATGCATGGTTAGGGAAGCGATGTTTCATATGATAAACAGCACTGGTTAATAAGTTGCAGAGTCAGATTCAAGAAAAATCTTGCTTTACATATGGCTTAAGAGACTCAACACTACTAGACTCAAATGAGAACAAAATGATTTAACTGATAGGTGATGGCGTTCATCACATTGCCTTTTACCTCAGAGAACACACACAATTCATCTTCACACGCTTCAAGAAGTCACCAGCATCATGTGTTTATTCTTGTCTGCAGTAATCACTTCCATGATCTAAAAACGATGAAGAAAATAGCATCCTAATTGCAACAGCCTGTCCAAGCCCTTTTCTGGCAAGATGCTACTGGATTTGGTCACATAGCAATTTTAGTCGGCATGCATGTCCATTGAAGAATCATTGGAACTGTTTGAATCCCTGTTTTGGTGCTGAAGAAAGTTGGGATCATTGTTCCGGCCTCCAGTGGCAGGAGGCAGACCACCAAAGCCTCCTCCTTGTGCTATGTGATAATGCTGAAGGCTCCGACGAATGGGGCTAGATAAAGCATTAGAGAAAACTGAATTCCTGGATTGTTGATCACAGTGCTCAGTGCGAGTTCCCTGCCCAGTGATTTGGCCAGATGAACCCGAAGAGACAGGGAAGCCAGAACTCATTAACTGAGTTGTGGGTTGGGTATGCTGATGTCGAACTTGTGCTCTAGGGGACATTGATGGCTCTTTTCCACTGTAATCTAGCTCATTCTGCAAAGAACTCATATTACTTGTATATCCCAAATAAATTTTAAAAAACAAAAAAAATGTACAAATTTAAGCTCATTTGATTTTGAATCTTTCCCAATCCATTGAAGTGCTGACAAGAATGTCATCAATGTTGCATATTCAAATTCTAACATATCTGATGAAGAAAATTTGCAACCACCTTTCAAAGTCCACAAATGCGGAAAATAAAAAATTCTACTAACAAACTTTGATTTGGAAGAATCGTACATAATGGAAAATATTAAACAATAGTTCTGCCACAACAGCCCAAAAGCACATAACACTTCTAATTAAAAGTCAAGAAGGCAGTCCCAAGAGTCTTAAATGTCAGTAAAAAGTTGGTCTTTTCTTATTTTACAACCGTATTGCATGTAAAGTAAAAATTAGTTTTTCTTACTGTGCAAGATTCTTAAATGTGCAATTAGAAGTCCCAAAAGGGGTCTTTATTGTTCTTATTTTAACAGTCATTTATTGCGTTATTACATCCAAAAATCATATCACTCTAACCATAAGCGAAAACGGGTCACCGATCAAAGAATGCAAATACCGAGATCTAAGTATAGCCACACAAAATCTATTATGCTTAACATAGTAACTACTTGCACAAAAACCTAATTTTTCAACTATTTACTGTTCCTAATAAATCATATTTACTAAAATTTCCTTGTATATGTCAGATACCCTTAAAAATGCCAAAAGTTGTTCCATGCAGCAATGCAGGATTTTCACAATGAAGCTTACCTATCGAAGTTACAAAGACCATGACCTGCAATAAGGTGCAAGCACGGTTTTAACACAAATGTTTCAGAAACACACCCTTAAGAAGATTGTTTACGATCACTTCTTAATGCATTACGGAACCGTACATCAGTAATAGCCAGTTGTTGTTTGATACATATTTGAAGCCTCAATCAGCATTATACTTCTCTGCAGCACCATTGTGTGTATGGTGTTGTAGAGGAGAGAGAGAGAGAGAGAGAGAGAGTTGATGTGCAGGGGTTGTCCAATTTGTTTGCATTTAAACACATTCAAGAAAGAATGACATAAACACTATAATATCAGGCACAAGAACAAATCAACATCAACCTGAAGGTAATTGAGAATATCAACGTTTTCACTCTTGAGCCTCCTTCTTCTTGTCTCCAGATCCACTGATAAAATTTTTCCTATAACAGTAACCAGGTTGATGCTCCGAGCTATTTACAAATTAGTTTTTTTTTTTTTTTAAATAGCAAATAAACAGATTAAGGCCAAACATAAGTGACACAAATATTTATGTAACCACATGGCGCACACGCTAGTTATATCGAGTTTGGATGTGAACAATTTCTTAAACTTCATTAGTAAGTACACGAGCAAAAAGAATATAAAACCAAAAAAGAGAAAAATGATCAACCAAAAATTTTCAGTCTTTCCACCAGATAATCTCCCCCCTCTCATTATCAACTCATTAACCATTAACAGCTAGATTTCAACTTAAAAACAAAATTCCTTTTCAGTGAAAACGTCCAAATTTTTTAACCTTCTGCAAACCAAAATTCCTCAAACTCGAGTCCAATGTTAGGGTTCCAGAAACGCTACAATCTCTTAAAAACAAAAGTCTCATGGCTTTTCACCAAATAAAATAGCATTGAGGAATCAAACCACACAACTAACCCACAACTTTCAATTCATTAAATCAAACACGATTCACTGTAATCAGTACACTCAAAACCACATCCAATATTATATAATCAACAAATAAACTAATGTGTTAAACATATACATCCATCTATCTATGCACCAATTAAAAAACAGACCCACAAAATACAACACACACAAAAAAGAAAAGGAAAAAACAAATCTTTCGTCTTAAAAGGAATAGAAATGAAGAAAAAACTCACAAGGCCGTGGCGTTCACCAGCTTGGAAAGAGTGTTTCTGATGGTTCATGGCTTGGGTGTAAAGTTGCGAGAGTGAATTCGCCGCGCTGCAAAACGACGCATACATGCTCTGATCCACCTCGTCGAGGCTTGTGGCGATTGACTTTCTCTTCTTGCCCATGGCGAGAGATTGATTGTAGGATAATTTACGAGAGTTTGATTCAGAGATGATTTATTTATTTATTTTTATTTTTGTGGGTGATTGATTGTTGAAATGAAACGGAGGTTTAGAGAAAAGGGCAGCTTCTTATACGGTGATAAAGAGAGAGCAATTAGGTGACCACTTAGTTCAAGTTGTATGGTAAAATGGCCCCATACCTTTGCAATTTGGACATATCATGATTTAAAGTCTTTGTTTTGATACTTTTTTTAAATAAATTTTAAATTTTTAAATAAAAATCATTTTATGTTTATAAGAATCCAGAGTGTTATATCTTATACGTTATCTGAAAAGATATTGAACATCCTTATGTAGATGTGCGAGGCACATCTACCATTATTAATGTTTCGTGTTTTTGTTTTGATACTAATGATAATAACCTTTGTTTCAAGTACCTTTTACATTATCTTAAAAGACTCGTAAAAGTAATTCTCGAGATATTGAATGTTCTTATGTAGATGTGCGAGGCACATCTACCATATTACCATTATTAATATTTCATGTTTTTGTTTTGATACTAATGGTAATGACCCTTGTTTCCGGTAATCCTTAATTTTGTTTTTGGACTTTTCAATTCAACTCTCTTAAAGAATTTGTTAACTCAAGGGCATTATGGTGAAGTCATCTATGTGACATCAATGTTTAATCGTTAAACGCATTGGTCTGTTTATTTATGCATTGCAAAGCCCCTTTAAGACATTACAGGGGAACTTGTCCATATGATATTATAGACATTTATATGAACTCGACTCAATTTGATTCGATTTCACCTCTAATTCTGATACTAAATGTTTGATCCAAAACTCATAAGAGGTTGAAGATCAAAATGTCTAGGAATGGGAGATCGCTTCACTTGGCATCGATCCTTAATTTTGCTATCTAAACTCTAAAGACGCATTCACATGTAATTTAAAGCCAATAAAGATATTATGTGGAGACTCATTTATACAAAAACGGTGCTTCATTGTGGATGGGTGAATCCTTTTATAATATCTTTTAAAGGTGGCACTAAGAAGCCCCACCTTTAATATTTTTTATAATCTTTAATTTTTTATTAGACACACCATTTCTATTTTATAAACCCTAATTCTTATATAATATTCAAATTATTCTTAAACTAAGAAATTGTTTACTATACGAAGAAGGTTTGTAGTGGGATTTGTTATATTACAAGCAATACAAAATAACATTTTTATGTTATTTTTTATTTTGCATTAGTATTTTGTTCTTAAGTTTATTATTTGTAAGGATTTCATTTTTTAGCTTTAATTTTTATTGAACTTTTATTTTAAATATTAAAAATTTTGTTTTATAAATGATGATAGAGGGAATTAAGTGTTTACTCTTTTAAAACTTTTTTTTTTTTTAAAAGGAATAAATTATATTTATGGAATTTATGGGCGTAATAAATTATTAAATTGACTAGTGAAATGGGCCGAAGCCCACTATGTGGTTAACAAATCACCCTGCTGGTGAAGTCGTCATAACTTGCTACATGGGCTTATTATTTATAGTCCAAATTTGGTCTTGATCCATGAATAAGAACTCTGGGCTTGAGGATCCATAGCCAATACTACGAATATGTTCTGTTATGTTACACAAGCGTTAAAAAAAAAAAAAACATAAAAAAACCTTCTATCTTAACTATTGGATCATGATCGATTCTACTTTTGAATCATGATCCAAGAGTCGACATTCAAGAATAACATCAAGTGTTTTCGGTGGACCCTTTTTTTTATTATTATTTTTTTTATTTTTTATTTTTAATAGCCTGTGATGTTTGGACCAGTTTACGCACATCTTAATTAATTCCTTAAAATCTTGGAACTACCGACCAGGTAAAAACTCCAGTGGCTACCCCAATTAGCAACTAAGGAGGGACTCGAACTTAAGATTTCTTGAATAATACACTTAATAGTTTTTATCGAACCACTCAGTTACCGAAAGGTAGTTTTAATGGATTTATTCTACTATGTATCATTGCTTAGGAATTGAAAGTGCCACATATATGCATAGTTTGTTACTCTAATCTTGATCTATAAATCAACATTAAAAAGTGATTTAAAAATTGTGTAGGATAGATTAAGGAGATATAGTCCCACGGAAAAGAACTTGAATATCATAAGATGTCATATCAATCGTACCTTTAACCAAATAATTTATTTCATCTCTAAATTTGTTTTTTCACTCATCTATCCTTACGGTAAATGCAATTGGTGGTTTTTGGATTTAGAGCTTTCATGAAGGAGCCGAGAAGCTTCTACTCGATAGGTCAAACTGTAACGGTCAATGAATGAGAACCAGGAGGGGAAAGAATACTATTAGGAAGTTTACAATTGCAGAGGGCAATGATTATGTTTGCGGGGGCCAATGTTACTATCAGGAAGTTTACAATTACAGCGGGCGATGATTAAGTTTGAGGGGGCTAAAGAGGAAAAATTGAATTTATAGGGACGAAATTGATAGACTTCTATTCAATTTTTTGTGGGTACATCATGAGCCTGACATGTGTTCAATGATTTGTGATACCATTTATGTCACTATAGTTTTGAAGACTTTCTCATTCTCTGTAACAAGTTTTGCAATCAACGCAATAAAATCAGGTCATTTGTCATCATATCATTTTTATTTCAATTAAATCTAGTAACATAAAACTAGGGGTGAGCAAGAATTTAAAGTAGAACGGGAACCAATGGGTACTTGGGGTGCCGATTCCGATTCCTAACTGGAACCGACCCACACAGGGTCAATTCTGGTTCTAAAAAATTGGTATCGGGGCTCCTTGGTTTCGGTTTCGATTCCCGAAGTGGTGGAACTGGAACCGAAATCGGCGGTTAGTTAGTGAGGTTTTGAATGGGAGATGCTGGTGGTTCAGTTGGTGGTGTCAAGGGTGATTTCCAGTGTCAAGATTGACCGAAATTAGGCTAGGAAGGCACAATAATGGCACAAAATATTAAAGGGGTGGTGGCAGTGATTGGTGGGCTATTGTGGTGGGCGAGGTTGGGGGTTTTGGTGGGGGGATGCTAGTGAGTCGATTGGTGGAGTCAAAGGCGATTTTCAGCGTCGTGATCAATTGGAAAAGCTTGAAACGCGTGGGCCAAAACAGTGGGCAATGATCAATCATTGGTGGTCCAATCAAGTTAGGGGTGATAGGGGTTTTGTTGTGTGGCTGAGTAGAGAGTGTTGGTGGTGTCGGGGGCGACCGAAAATGCCAGAGTCAGGCCGGGTTGGCTTGAGATGGTAGTAACTACAAGGTGTATTTGCAAACAGATTGGGGGTGTATTGTCATTTTTATGAATAATAGGGATGCATTTGTAATTTTGCTAGATACCCTGAATCGGAACCTGCATTTTAGGTTCCAATTCAGCTAGTTAGGAACTAAAACTGACCGATTCTGATTCAAATTCCATGAGATTTGGGTGAGTAACGGAACCTACTCACCCCTAAATAAAACCAAGACTAACATGAAATATAGAATGTAAGATGCTGTAATATTATTCTTTAAATTTTACTAAACTAATCTTACATTTGATATTTTTAATCTATTATTTGTATTACATCACCTCTTATCTTTACACGTTTCATTATTTACATAAAACCTTATTTTATCAATAATATTTTGGGTACTAACAGATTTTACTAATTAGTGTACTAACCTAAATCATAGTACGGGTACCATATGCATAGTATGAATACCATATGTAATTTTAACAAAATTTAGTATATTAATTAGTAAAATCCGTTAGCACGTATAGCATTACCCTTATTTTATATAATTGAATTGAATTGAGATTTTGTCACAAAAGCATCTAATCACAATTTTGTACACAAGAAATGTCAATAGTACCTAATATTCACATCTCTAAAAATCGCAATGTAGTACACAACATAAAAACAAGAACTCGTGTAAGAATCAATTACCTTCCTTGGATTATTCTTTTCATTTTCCTCGAAGCTTTCAATCTCAAACCGTCCTAACCATATTTTAATCACTAATTAATCAAAGTTTAATTTATCCATCTCAGCCGTCCAATATTAATCAAAGTGGTTTAATCATTGTCAGGAAGACCATGATGAAAGTTGGATGGGACCCATGAAGAGAAAAGTTTATGCAACGTGGAGATAAGTTAGAAGAAAGGATGATTCGGAGCGTTCGATTGGGTCCTCGTTTCAACCAATTTTTGCCAAAAGGATACCGATAATGGAGACTTTGTAGTTTTTTATTATAAGTGCGTAACCGACATTCACCTCATTTATGTTACTTTATGTCAGTATTAAGGTGGTTGTCGTTCTAGATTGTTCTATTATACCATCAAATTCTCAGATCAAATCACTAATTATATGATCAACCTATTGCTTGATTGATTCAAATATTCTTGATGATTTAAGTAAATTATGTTTAATTTTTTTTTTTATTAGGTTCAATTTTATCTTATTATTTGAAGTTACTTGTACAAATAATTGTTGCACAAATTAGTAAGAACAGTTTGGATAGGTTTAATTTATGAAAGAAAATACAAATTATGCAATGTATTAAATATTATTTGTTATTGTTAGATATTGTCATAAGAAAATGCAAAAATACCTTTTCATTCCTAACATAAATTGTATTATTTTTATGAATTGGCTTTAAGAGAAAACAAAATAATTAAGAGGGGAAACTGACAAATATTATATCATATATAACTAAATAATTTAAAAAAAAAAAACCACCACTAAGTGATTTGATAGTAAAAAAATAAAAGAAAGTTCTATGAGTTACTAAGTTTAAATCTCAAGATAATAATAGAGTATATGCCTCGAAAGATTAATTGAAGTATACACAAACTAATTCAGACATCCTTAATATGAAAAATAAAAATTAAAATTAAAAAAACCATTGTAAAATTTGAAATTGAAATATACATTTTATTTATTTCGTGTATCTAGTTATAACATCTTGAAATTAATTTTACTTGTATCATATTTAAACATAATTAGATTTATCTTATTAGACTAAAATAATATAGATAAATCATATATATACATATATGAATCTGATAAAATTATTGTTAAAAGGTTCTAATCGAAGAATTATTATATTGTTGTTGAATAGTTTTCATATCTTATTATCTAATTTAATTTACACAATTAAAAAATATTACTAACTTTACAGACAT